AGCTTCAGAGAAACTCAGGGGTTTTGACTGGTAAACTGCAGAAGAGATCAGCATTAAATACAGTATCTTATTGCATGATTGTTTCAAAGGACTGTTTAAAATCTAAGCTAATCTGGAAATCTACCAGCTCCACGGATCTTTAATCTTTTTTTAGCTCTGTTTTTAAAGATTTTTTTCCCATTAATAACTCAAGAATTATTGAAGTAAAAAATAGTTTGATATTTTCAGAGCTTTGTAGTCAACACACCTAGCAACTGACACAATTAAAATTTCAGAAATCCTAAGCATAGCACAAATTCCATTGTAATTCGTTCTTAGGGAAAAAAAGAAAGGCCCCAAAATAGCACTGAAATTTCAGTAAAAGACAACTTCTGCACGCTTGTGAACTGTGTCAACTTCTGCTTTCTGCTTCCGCCTTTCCCTTTTCACATTTCCTCTTCAAAATTCAGTGGCACAGACCTATAAGAGGACACCAGAAATAGTTCTGGTGCAATTCTTTCCATGTTAATAACCATTTTGAAAGTATGAACTTTTCTAAAGTCCACTGAAAACATCAGATTCGGGTTTGTTTTACAAGACTTGAAACTTTTTTTTCTGAAAAAACTCAGAAAACATGAAATCCTAGAACGCTTTGGGTTGGAAGGGACCTTAAAGATCACTTTGTTCTAATGCTGTGCCATAGGCAGGGACACCTTCCACCATCCCAGGTTGCTCCAAGCCCTGTCTAACCTGGCCTTGGAAACTTTCAGAGATGGGGCAGCCACAGCTTCTCTGTGCCAGGGCCTCACCACCCTCATAGGAAAGAGTTTCTTCCCAATATCTAATCCAAATCTCTCCTCTTTTATTTTAAAACTGTTTTCCTTTGTCCCATCCCTATCCGCTCATGTACAAAGTCACACTCCCATTTTTTCCCCAAGTCCCTTTAGGCCCTGCAAGGGGCTCTGAGCTCTCCCTGGAGCCTTCTCTTCTCCAGGTGAACACTCCCAGCCCGGCTCCAGAGCAGAGGTGCTCCAGTCCCCAGAGCATCTTTGTGGTCTCCTCTAGACCTGCTCTAACAGGTCCAAAAAATAGCTTTATAATCAAGACAGAAAGGAAATAATACCTGCATTGCTCTCTAACCCAATATTCCCACTGCTCCCTCCAGCACAAACAGAATTTTCTTCTCAGAGTTTCCCCCTCTTGGGCAAAATAGAGAAAATATGAATAAACCCCACCAAATCACTAAGAAGTGAAGCAGAAAATAAGAAGCCCACAACTGTGGTTTAGAAGGGATGGTTTAAGTGAGCCAGCTTTGGAGCTGGGGATTGCGACCCTGCTGTGGAAATCCTCACTTTACAAACCAAATGTGCCACTCCAGAGCTCCCACTCACCACCCTGGCTTTCAACATCCAATTCTCTCTCAAAGGCAGCTGCAGCTTGCAAGCCCAAACACTGAATTACCAAAGCAATCACCAATCTTGAGCCCCTCATCATTTGACATTTCTCACCAATTTTCTATGAGCTTGCAGGAAATAATTTCAAACAGCTCCCTCAAGAAAATAAATTTCAAGCCTTAGTTTTTTTCCAGCCCAAGCCATCCCTGCACTATTTCATAGCTCTGATAATTATACCACTGACTAAACCTCCAACTGGGAATAGCTGTTTTTATCATCACTATTAAAAACAGTCCCTCACACTGTTAGGAATCTGGAAATTCACTGGAGCTGCATCCCACCCTTCAGCCTCTCAAAACACTACAGAGCAATGAAAGTATTTGCTGAAACCAGAGGATCCCTGTGCTCAACAACTCCTGTCATTTCTGGGTAACTGCAACTGCTTCCTAAGCCAGCCATGGGGGCCTGGTTATTGATTTTAGAAGGGCAAGTGGCACCAGAGTTCTGAAAATCAAAGTTTTCCATACTGGACTGGAAAAGTTTAGTTACTTTTAGCATGCATGTCCCTGCTGCATTTCTAAAAAAGCTCCTCACATTCACCTAGTTTTGTAATTTTTTGCTTTTTTAAAAAAATTAAAGTTATAAGATCACCTGCAGTTTTCCTTTCCTAAAAGTACATTATCTTGGCCAGAAGAGTGACTGACAGCTCTCAGAGTAGTAGCAAGATGCAGAAAAACAAGAGTTGAAAGAAAAGTGGATTTAAAAAACAGCTTTTAATTATCTGCAGGTACAGTTGCCAAGTAGACAGCAAAGAGGCTGTGCATCACTTACAGATGGGAAAATTCCCCCAGGTTGATTTCACAGCCAATTACAGTGGATTAACCTATTAGGAAGAACAAAATAGATATATTTTTTTGTGGATGCAAGTTTCAACAGCTTGAAAAATCATTGCCACTGGTACTTTGATACACAGGATCAGCAAACTGTTCTATCACACTTCAAGTCATCACCATCCATAAACACACCCTAGAAAAAAAAAAACCTCACCCTCTTTTTTAATGCATCTTCTGTCATTACTTCCTTCTCAAGGAACAGCACCTCTCATGGCTTGAGTATCACTTCATATATCAATACTTCTTTTATTGTTGTTAAAGAGAATCATCAACACCTTCAAGCTGTTTTACACACACCTTTGCACACACATATATCATTATATCTGCCAGATAACACTATATAAGATATTTGTCAAACAGAAAAGCACCAAAGCTCTGATTTTCAGCTTTCCAGGATCCCTCTGCTAAATCCTGGGTGTGCCTACTTTTGTTTGGTATCAAGTTCCTGCTGCTGGCTCCGCTGCAAGAGCAAACTACAAGGATAGTTAAGTTTTTCCCCACCACCAAAAACATCTGTTCCTTTTCTGAGTTGTCCAGACTTCCTTCCCCTTGACCATATCACAAAGCCTCTCTTTTCAGCAAGGCTGCCTTCTCGATAGTCCATCACCATTATCTGCTTGTTCTCTGCAGAGCAGCTTGAATCACTGGGTCTTGCAGAGCTTCCAGTCCTTTCAGCTCAAGGCCAGGATCTCAATTCAAGCATCGTGATTTACAGAGAGGGTTGTTAAAACTCTTTCCCTGACTCTTTTTTAACACTCCACAGTTTCCTGTCCTGGGAGGCAACCAAACTGCTACAAGAAATGCCAGTTTCTGTTAAATATCCTCAATTCCTGTGACACCGAGCGTTTAAAACAATTACGTTACTTCCAAATCTTGCACTATAACAGCTTTTATGCCACAAAGTGCAGAGATGAGCAAAAATTACTTTAGCACCAAGGAGTGTGAGTTGGTTATTTGCTGCATCTCACAGCATTTCTAGTTAACATTCAGGCTTGGCACAACCCACCATCCGCTCGAGCACACAGCACAATGTCACCCCTCAAAACCCCACTGTTCAACCTAAAGGCACTTTTTAATTTTTTTTTTTCTTTTCCAAGGGTGCATCAGCTGCTCACTGAAAGTGGGAATGCTTCATTTAGCACACACACACACACTTGTTAAACTGCTCACAGCATGCAAATAAAACACTGCATTGTGCAAAAGTCATTCAGTCTCCCCATCCGTAGATATGAGCAATGGAACCGCGGCCAGGAAAGAAAAACTTGGAACAACATGCAAATATTTCAGTCCCTTATTCCCAGTATTCACATCCCAGGCTAAAGCCCACAGCCCTGTCATGCTGAGGGGTGACCATGTTTGAGAATCTCCCTGTGCAATGGGTGGGAAAACGACCATTATCTGTCTTGCCCCTGGACTGCACCCTTTTATTTGTAGTTATTACTGCAAACTGCCTTTTTTTTCCAGACAATGGTTGTGTTATTATAGGTACCTTCATGCCGTGCCAAAGCACATACACACAGCAATTCAGAACAATCAGCCTTGTTTTCATGGGAGCAAAGGTTGCAGCCAAATGAAATGGGTGGAGATCACATTAAACAATCTTGGAATCTGCTAATAGGATATAGGAAAATGTGACCATAATGCAGATGCGGAGTTCCCCTTTCACCTTCCAATGTTATGGATAAAATAAAAGCTTTGGAAAACCAATTAAACTGTTTGAACAACATTAAGCAAGTCAAAATGTTCTCAGGGTGCTTACAAGACCACTGAGAGGTTCTTGAAAATTAAAACAAAGCAGCGCCCGTTCAAAACTCTGAAAGCTGAGAGCATTTCCCCACTCCTGAAACAATGATTTCTTCCACCACCTGTTTTAAAGATAAAGGAAACCTGCAAGTCATCTGCTTCTCCATGGCAAAGAGAAGCTCATCAAGACAACTGTTCCTGTCTTAGAGACAGAATCAGCCCCTCCTCTAAGTGGGGAATTTTCACACTGAGGCACCTTGGTTGGTCAGCTGTGACCTGCATTCCCCTTGTTTGCTTTTGAGATGTGCATTAGTCAGCTTTCTCCTCCACAAATCTGATTGTGCCTCTGCATGATCGTGCACTGAAGTCATGTCCTTGAGCGTGTGACATCAGTCTGTTGCCATGGCAATGCACAGGGCAGTCCAAAATTCAGTATTATGGCATCACTGCGGGATCAGACAGCAGAACAAGCCAACGCCTGAGAGCTGGTTAATGCAGCACGAACGGCCAAAGACATTTCAATCTAAATGTTAAAGTGTAACTGCACTTCATCACAATACTCTTCATAAATATGCCTAGAAGCCTCAAGAAAGACAATCCAGAAGGTCACTGAATTGAAGAAACAGGCAAACCATCATGCATCACTAAAAAGAAGGGCAATATGTTTCCAAGGATGGCCACCAAGTATGAAGAAAGCTTAGTTCAGCTCTCTGAATAGAAACCACCATCTGTTCCTAAGGCAACACCAGAGCTGCCTGAAGACATCATCCACAGAGAAACAGGGATGGCCCCTCAGCACCCCAAACCAAGTGTTAGGTTGCACCCAGTTTTTCTGGGAATCAGAGACTGGAGGATCACAGCACTGCCAGCCCTCTCAAAGGGATAGCATTACATAAGACACAGTTCTTCACTTTCAAGCTTTGAAGCAAAGATCAGTGCATCATTAACCCAACCTATAACGAAGCCATGTAGGTAAAAAAAAGGGTGGTACCTTCCAAGAGCTGTTATTCCATGTAGGGTTAGACATTACAGTTCTGTAGGTTCCTTGCACAGTCACGAGAATGGCATTTCTGAAGAGCAAAAGGGAAGGAAAAAGGAAATTAGTGACACAGTAACGGTGTTAACAACCACTACCCAGCTCCTAAAACCCAAAAGATCCGGTTTGCCCAGAGCAAAGGGCACAACCCATGCACTGCTGACGTGGAGAACCACCAATTCAAGTCTTCAGTGCTGACTGATCGAGTGCACCCCAAAACCAGCCCAGCAAAACTACAGGTTGGCTGGGCAGAAGCCAATTTGGCACCATGAGAGCCCAGGGAACACAGATAGAAAGGAGGGACCACAAAGCCCCCAGAAGCCACAGCAGACCCCTTTCTTTACCTGCTCCTCTGTTCCCATCAAGCACACACATTTTGGGCTCTGGGTGTGGATTCTCAGGGGCTGCTCTGACACCCAAATTCCTCAAGCCCCTGGAGTGCCACTGCTGTTGTACTCAGTTTCTGTGTAACCCAGCCCCTCCCCGTACGCTTGGCTGGTTTCATTTTGCCTCCTTCCGCTTTCCCTTATTAATCCACGCGTCTCCAATAACTCAGTCAACACTTCCTTCTGCAGAGCTGACCTCCAGCCTTGCCACAACCCCAGACGCACCCAGAGCTTCTTAAAACTGCCATTAACGAGGCACATTTCACCTTCTCCACACGGATGTAGCCCTCGCCCACTTCTACCCCCTCCACCCATGTCCCTGGCTGTAATTACCCCATCCCTCGTTATCTAATACCCAACAGAAGCCTCAGGGCTGAGAACCACTGTTTGTTTGGCTCTGCAGTGTCACACACCCCAGTGGTGTTGTATAAATAAATTCCACAACCTGTTTGAGCCTGAGTTTGATCAAGACTTGAATTACTCCAGTTTCCAAGTGACTGCTGCAAATACCTTCGCTTGCTTACACAATCGGCCACCAAAGCAGCTCCAGGGCCAAACACCACGACAGCCAACTGCTCCCATGGACCACAACTGCACAGAAAACAACTCCAATCCCCCTACTTTAAAAATATAAATTGCAGATTATAAAAGGGATGAGACAGGCAGAAGCACACAGCACTCAGAAATGTGCCTGCCTGTCACCTGAAGGACAAGTTCCACGTGCTGGTGTCACCTCTCAGCCACCAAAGCACCCAGGCTTTGCCACAACCCTTAACACTCAGCAGGTTACCCAGTCACAAGTCTGAAGTATCAGGGAGAATGAGATTCTGGAAGCAACTTTGAGCCAAATGCATTTCAGAGCAAAATAAAGCCAGCAGGCTTCATCTCCATGGAGCTCCTGCAACACAACATAGGCTGAGCAAGTCACTCAGGGCAGAGGTCTTTCTTATTAAGTACCTAGTAAATTCAGATTAAAGTCAGACAGCTTTTCCCCCTCCCTCATATAAAAATCAGATGCTATCCAGCCCCGAGGAATCAATCCAGCTTCTGCAATGAGGAAAACCTGCTCACAGCTACATGACACCACACACAATCCATGGGATTGTGGCCCTTCAGGTACTCATTAAAAACGTTTTCCCTACAAAAGCCTCCAGTAACAATTTGCCTTCAACTCATTTTCTGCAGTGAACATGGATGGTAACTAAGTATTGGATATGGAAGCATGTGAGAAGTCCCAGTGCAGCCATCCCAGGTCATAAACACAGCAGTGTAATCCCATGGACATTCACCAAGTACCCACCTGCTCCCATGTGCCGATTCCAACATCAGAGGGGCCATCAAACCCCTGAGCCAAACCCCAGGAAGACAGGAAGGAAGCACTGAGGCACTCTAGGACCATTAAAAGGCAAACAGAAGCCAGAGAAGAGCCAAGGCTGGGTGTGTGTGATGGTGTTTACAGGTAGAGGAACTTTGCCCACTCACAGGAAGGAGCTGTGCTTTGCTGATGCTTCCTGACTACCCAGCTGAACCTCCTGTCCATAGTGAGTCCCTTTCCACCTGGATTATCCTTGGAGCACCATGAAAGATATCACAGCCCATTTCTTGGCTTCTTTTCCCTACAAAGTCAAGGCATCCAACCTCTTAAAAAGGCAGCATGGCACCTGTGCTCCCACATGAGACTCGCATCCTAAAACATTCTCCTAAACAAACCATGAGCAAAGAGCACAGTGAGTCAACATCCCCAGCAGGTGAGGGTCAGGCAACACTCCAGGCTTGAAGTTTGGACACTTCTAACACTCCTCATTTTTATTTAGGCAATAACCAACCTGCCAGCCTCCTGTTCCTGCAACATCAGTGGCTAAAAAGGGATGCAGGAGTCTGATCAGCTACAGACTCTCAGGAAAAATGCATTTTTTCCCAATATGAATAAATAAATACCTTTCTTAATGGAGAAGGTGATGCAGTTCATCTCATTAAATAAGTCACTCTGTTCTTATCAAAGCATGGATCCACTACAGTACACAATGCACAGGTTGGTTTGCAAAGTGTGTTTGGGCCTTTCCCTTTGAAAGCCACCCTAAAAACGTAAGCCTTAGTTAAGGGGGCCTTGTACTCTTTGTTCCTTTGAAATTCACACCACTTCACCTTATTTATCCCCAGAGCTTAATGCTGCAGTTGGATCCACACAATCAATCCCATCACCCAAGTTACAACCAACACAATCAAGCCTGAACTTACAAGACTATGAACTTTTAGGAAGTACATTACATTTTCTTTCCCAAAACATTTAACCTGCTAACAAATACCTGTCTTAGTGCATTACCACCCTCCCATTGTCCTGGAGTGAGTTAGCAGCAAAACACAGGGAGAGCCAAGCACACTCTGCCTCCTGGCCAAGCAGAGCCTGCAAGAACAGACCCCCTTTGGGGCAGCAACAGTTGAGGTCAATTTAATGGGAAAACAAACTACTTTTCCATTCAAGTCCAAAGCACAGACAAAGAATTTTATGTGGCTCACATTGCACAGTCAGCTGTCTTTTTAGGAACGGATCAGATTTAATGGTTCTGTGGCAGTCCAGAAAAAATGAGCCTGAAGAGAGTTTAAGGTTTGGCCAGTACTGCACTGTGCAAAGTCCAGGCACTTGTCTGAGGTGCTCTTGTGGCCTCAAATTGGTACCTTAAAGTCATCACCATCAACAGCAGTTCCAGGTATTTTAGGAGGCCCTGGCACAGGGTGCCCAGAGAAGCTGTGGCTGCCCCTGGATCCCTGGAAGTGTCCAAGGCCAGACTGGACAGGGCTTGGAACAACCTGGGATAGTGGAAGGTGACCCTGCCCCGGGGAGGGTTTGGAATGAGATGGGCTTGAAGGTCCTTCCCAACCTAAACATTCTGGGATTTTATGATTTCCCAGGGTTCGGCCTAGAGTACAAATTCACTTTTACCCCATTTCAAAGAAAGGCAACATCTCTCTCCCAAGCTCTGCCTGATAATTCTCTTTTGAATTTAACACCATTTCTACACCAGAGAACCAAAATGAGGCAATGCTTCAACGTGACCACCCTCACCACGGGGACTCGTATTCTGAAGCAGCAGAGATGTGCTCAGGCTCTTTCACTTGACTATTTCAGGGCCTAATGCAGACAGAGAAGCTAATTAACATGTATTGCTATGGAAAGGAATATAATCCAAACCTTCGCTGGTTTATATCTAAACCCTCTGAGACATCTAATGTCAAAGCTAAACAGATCTTCACCTGGCAAACATTTGGAGAGCCTTCAACTGAAGCTTCCAGGTAAGGGAATGCAGTACTTTAGGATATTTTTGCTACATACACTGGGGACATACCTCTAACACAAAGCCCAGAGAATCATCATGACAGCTGCAAAAACAACTTTGTCCTGGCTAACATTCACATAACGAAATTACAGTTTCACTCCAGGGAAAAAGGAAAAAGCACTTAAGTTTTGTTTAGATTGAAGTGCTTCGAGCCACACCACTTATCTGCTATCAGAGCAGATTGCAGGGCTGCTCCAATGATTATTCTGTAATGAAGTAACTGGAATTGGAAGGTATGCAATTAGTCCTATCTCCTCCTCCTCTGCCACCCCCCTATCAAGAAGAAAACCAGCACAGACGTTATCACCTCTCCCTGGAGCTCTGCTACCCTCACCACTTAAAATACCCACAAAGCAAAGTAGGGCTGTCACTTACAAGCTGCTAACAAGCCTGGCTTGGTCCTGACTGGCAGCAAAGGTGATATTCTCAGCATCCCTCCAGGAGAAAGTTACAGGGTTACCTAATGGGATGCTTTCTCAGGTACCCACACACATCTATATTAAGCTTAACATGCCTGCATTTAGCTATTTTAGTAAAAGCAAACCACTTTTGAGAGGGGAAAAAAAAACCAAAAAAAACCCCACTGCTGTTCCTAGTAGCTTTAGGTTAAAGCATCTCTCACTAATCCTCCTGGGCATGACCACTGGGAAGTGAATATATTAAACTCAGGACACAGGTATCACTTACTGGCACTCTGGGTAGTTTTACTGACTCCAGCCTGGCTCATTTTACCTGGGTCATTTACCCTTCCTTCCCCTAAAGAGCTGTGCTTTATGTCTGTACAGTGGTATATGCAGCTTTCCCATAACTGCAGCTAAGAGATGGAAGATGCAAAAAGGCCCCAGACAGGCCACAGCCAAATGGAAACTCAGTGAATCCCTGATTCCAAACTGCAATTCTGAGAAAATATAATCTGACATTTATTCAGGCTCAAAAGATCTCTCATCTCTTCCCCTCCACCCCAGTGATATCCGTTGGTCTAATTAAAGACAAGGCTTCTCTCAGCAGCCTCTGCCTTACATATATTCCAATAAAGTCACTATCTGTGACCCAAGGAACACAGGGGAGAGCTAGGGGATAGGGGGCATTCTCCAAATCCTTAAAATAAAATAAAAATGTAAATATTAAACTAAAATAACCTTACAACCACCATTAAAACAACATCAACAAACCTGCTCTGTATAGGTCCACAAGAGATGCAAGAAATTTCACTCTGAATTCATCCAATTGAGTGAATTTCACTCAGTTTTTAATTGTTCCTCGACATTTTCCTACGTTCTTCCAAATTTCTTAAAAACATTTTCCCAAAGAAA